TTTTTACCTTAAAATATCCATTCGTAACATGCTTATTATAGATTTCCTATGAACAATGAAAAATTTTTCATGTTAATCGATTTTCTCAAAAGTAAATTAGTACATATATGATACCAGCATCTCTTGATGTTTCTGTCAATGTCTGACCAGTTGTTCCTTCTGCTCAGTAAATGGATTTCCTCTATTTCCTATAGGTCGACAACATAAGACAGAAAGAAATCTTCACATGTGATTCTTTCTTTACCATATATAAATGAGAGAGTGAATAATCATAGATATGTACTGATTTCTAATAGGAGTTGTTTCCATTAGACAAAGTTTTTGTCATAAGTTAGTGCACAAATATTTAGTTTTTCCTGTTCCTTAAACGGTTAAGTACATAACAACTTAATTATTTGATTTAAACATCGTCTTTCAACATAGTTTTTAAAGTATTCTTGGGATTGCTTGATTTGATTATGTGGTATATTGTGTCATATAATGAAGCGGGTTGCTGCTAATATTTCCCATTGCGGTGCATATGTCCCATAATTAATGAGAATGACATTTCCCGCGTTCCACTGTGCGAAAACCATGAATTTAAAAACGTACAGCAGGTTAAACTCTACAAGAAAAATGAAAAAAAAAAGGTAGAAGACCACATACCTTGACAAGAAGAATCTGAAGATAAGGTCTCCTTGGTACTGGGAAAAGCAATATAAGAGTTTCTCCTATTCCAACATCATCAAAAGTAAGCTCATTAATGCATCATTTAGAATTCTGTGCCGATGATGAGAGACTAAAAGGGAAAATTTTCAGAAATTTCACCACTTGATAAGGGATCAAACAGAATGGTAGCTTCTGAAGGTAAGACATTATGAAAAAGAGATGTAGAAGAGTTTGAGAATCCAAAGTTACATTTTACAATCATAAAACTGTTGATATTTCTTATCTTCAACATATCCACTTCCTCCACCAATGACCTGAAAAATGAAATTCCCAACAAAATCAGTATAGTCATGAAAAACCTATTAGACCCTGAAAATATATATTTGATTGGCAGACATTTCATCACCAATATGGATTATACAAAAAATATATAAATAAAGTATGAAGAAATATCAGGAAAAAAAAGGTCCGAGGCAAACAGAAATCATTGAAGAACAGCATATTGTTTTTGAGAGCCTCTTCTTGTTCTTTTCAATCTTTGACTGGATTTCATCCTCTTTACTGTCTTCATTGTTGTCAGGGTTGGTGCTGGAATCTTGTGTTGGTGTTTTTGTCTGAATGAATGAGAAGGTTATGGATGATGGCCATCCAAGGTGTTTATATTTTCTTCTCTCTAATTCAGGATCCTTTTCCTCATCTGCTTCACTAGCTGCTCCTGGTTTGGAAGAGACTTCCTCCTCTTCCTGCTCAAATGGAGGCTTTGGTGATGATCCTATGGAGGCAACAACATCTTCTGGATATAGACGACCAGTTTTGGCATCAGGTCTCTTTCTCATCCTCATGTTAGATAATTCAGATAGAAAATATGGAAGAACAAATGCTATGAAAGATGCTATATATGGTTGTAAAGTCCTAAGAACCAAATTAAATGAGAAAGTCCAAGAATGGAAGAATTTCTCACTTTTCTCTTATGATTATCTGTTAATTGGCTGTAACTTGAGTTGTTGTTTGTCATTTATTTATGAGGAATCATGAAAACAACCAAACTCATTTGCAGCTCTAAATTATTGAATCCTTTTGCAGATGACAGCAATTTCACTAATTATGCAAGGAAAATCAGTCTCTTCTAATTGAGACAACATTTGAATTCTAATGAACTTATGCCAGGAAAAATTGTTAGCATTAACAGAGCCATGGGCAGCAAACACATAAAAAAACATGCGGTCTATGACTAAACACGGGTGCCCAAACACGCGGGAAATGATTTGTTATTCATGTCTCATGAGTCATCCAGGGTACATTTTGAGTGGTAAATGATTACATTTGAAGTTGAAGATAAGGATATCTAGTGAACTTTAGAACCTTAATTCATTACCTAACAAATGAATGTTATTTGAGACTCTAATTAAATATGCCAAGTCACATACCATAAAAGAAAAATATGCCATATATATCTAGAGAAGAAAGAAAATTCAGAGAAGATAAAAATCATTAATGCAAAATTGCCTAGACGTATATATAAGGCAACATCTTTATCACAGTCAAGTAACACAAAATATAAATTCATTTTTCTTTTCCCTTTTTTGATAGTTTTATTATTCAGACCCAAGACTTTGAGTTTTGATTCTTGGATTGAATTGTTGCGTTAAAAGAGTAGAGCTACCCTCCATATATGCATACACGAGACATGTATTTACTTGAACTGTGAATGCACATGGAATGAGCCTTCAAAATGATATTATTTGAATAAAGATTCCTAAGAAATGAATAAACTATTTTAAACTCTTTCTCAAGGGAAAATTAATCAGAAGTAGATCTGTTAGCTCCAAATTTCTGTTAAACGACAAAGGTCAATAAAATTTCTTTAGTGCAACAGAAAGGTATTCTGTCTGACCCTTTTCTCTTGAAAGAACAAACCAGGGTGACTAGTCTCTTCCTCTATTTTCTTCTTTTCTACTACTTATATTCATTTTTGTCTGTACAGGACATTCAGATGATGTAATCTTTCCTCACCAACGAAAAACCTTTTCTTGCTTACGATGCTGAGTTAAAAACAAAATAAACATTAGTAAATAACTATTATCTAAGATTTGAAAAAATATATATATATATATATATGGAGATGTTGTAAAAACAGAAAAGTATTCTGAATTTCCTGTGATTATAATATATAATAAATAGTGACATAATAAAAAAAACAAGGGAGCTGCTCCT